GAATATGTTGTAGGGCAAGGTGAGAGCTTCAGGTTTCTTTAATAACCTACCTTGTTTCATAGAGGAGATAATCTACCTGAGCTTCTGATCAGAGTTGTTAGCGGTAACTTATCATAGTAACTTATCATGGTAAGTTACCAATAAGTTATAAATAGTAAGTTACCATTATAAGAACTAATTATATAATGATTAACCAATTTAGTATTACGTAGTAATCAATAGTACATAATAATGATGTAATATAAATAGTTTAAAATATTATCGCTATATAAAAGATAAAAATTATACTATTGTAAAATTATACTATCGTAAATTTATTGTTTAATAATGCCACGAGAAAAAGGTATTTTTTGGCTTGAATACGAATTAGTCAAAGATAATCCAAATGAACCGGAAAAGTATTGTTGCAAACATTGTAATACTAAATATGCTAAAAATGCCTCAAGACTTCAAAATCATCTTGAAAAATGCATTAATTACCAAAAAAAGTTAATTGAAGAAGAATTAATAAATACTATGTCAAGTGATAATAGTGTAATAAAATCTCAAAAAAAATGACATATTCAAGATGAATTAACCTATAAACATAGTGAAAGTGATCAGAAGGAATTGGAAAATTTATTAGCACGAGCTTTTTATTCAGCTGGAATGTCATTTAATATTATTGAAAATGAAGATATCAAAGCTGTATTTCAAAAAGATATTCCATGGTTTAAGATTCTATCCCGATATCGTTTATCAAATACACTTTTAAATCAAGAATATGTAAAAATTAAACAACTTGTTGAAAGTATTTTAAACGAATCAGAATATCTTTGTATTACAAGTGATGGATGGTCTAATATTCATCGATTGCCAGTAATTAACTATATGATTACAACGCCAAGACCATTTTTTTATAAAGCAATATTTACTGGTGAAGAACATCATACAGCAATTAATATAGCTAGAGGAATTGAAAATATTATTAATGAAGTTGGTGAAAACAAGATTGCTGCAATTATTACGGATAATGCTAACGTTATGAAAGCAGCATGGGAAATTTTACAAATATCATTTCCACAAAAAGTATTTATTAAGTTTGTTTATTTATTTAAATATAATTTATATACGTAGTATAATCTAATTTTTAAATTATAATTTATTAGATTTTTTTAGGGTGTTGGGCACACGGAATTAATCTTTGGATAAAGGATATTATTAACTTAAAGTGGGCATATCAAATTATACAATCTATGAAAGAAATTCTTAATTATTTTCGAAATCATCAAATAAGCTTAGCAACATTACATCGACTTCAAATAAAAGTTTATAATAATCATATATCTTTATTACTTCCTGGAGATACTCGATGGGGATCTGTATTTTATTCAGCAAAAAATCTTCTAGAAACAAAGGCGGCTATTCAAAGAATAACATTAGAAGATAATGTTAAAATTTCTGATGAAATTAAAAATTTAATTTTATCAGATAATTTTTGGTTTAATCTTAAAATTCTTTATAATTTTCTTTCGCCTTTTGCTATTTTTTTAAAAAAATTGCAAACTGATCAACCTACTCTTTCAACTGTTTATTCAGAGTTATGTAAACTAAAAATCTCTATTTCTGAAAATACTGAAATTCCAAATGACTTTAAAACTAATTCAATTAGTAAAGGAACAGAACGATGGAATAACTTTCTTTATAATCCGGTAATTATATTGGCATACAAACTCGATTCTCAATATCAAGGCAAAACTTTAAATCCAAAAAAGTGGGATTTAATTATTGAAGATGAATTAATACGATTAGTATCAAGTCAAGATCAAGAAATTATATTAAACGAATATGCAGAATATGTTTCCAAAAAAGGACATTTTGCATGACCATATTTATGGAATTCTAATCTTGTACAAAATCTAATTAATTGGTGGGGTTTATTGAAAGGTAGATATCCTATATTGAGTAAGATTGCTTTACGCATATTATCAATACCACCTACTTCAGCAGCTTGTGAAAGAAATTGGTCAACTTTTGGCTTTATACATAATAAACTGCGTAATAGACTTAATGATCCAAAAGTAGAAAAATGTGTTTATATTCAATGGAACTTACGAATTTTAAGAGATCTGGGTCGAATAGATGAATTAAATAAAAATATAGATTTTGTTGAAGATTTGACAATAGATAATGAAAATTTAGAAGAAAATGTATTTGACGATTTATTTTCAGACAATGAGTTAATTACATATGATGAAAATGGATGCATAGATATTAGTAGTGATTCATAATTAAAATTGAAAGAACATTCTTTGTCGAAAGTGTAAGTATAAATAATTAAGATAAAATATTGAATTAAAAATAAAAATTAAATATTAACTAATAATAATTTACAGATACAAAGAAATTATTTTGCTTGCTTATTTGCTTGGATATTATAATGGAATTGGAAAAACAAAATATCAGTTGTAGTTATAAAGAAACTGGACAAAATTGCAAATTATCGAATTGATAAATTAACAATTGTTAAAATTATTTGTTTCAGTGTAAAATTAAAAAATTTAGCCTACAAGGTAATGCTACTATAAAATAGCATTTATAGTGTAACTTTATAATGATAAACGAAAATTTTGATTTGTTATACAAGATCTTAAAATCTTGTTGATTTTGAACTAAATATGTTGTACGAAACTTACAGTAAGTTACCGGTAAGTTACCATTTTGGTAACTTACTATAAATTACCGTAATTTTACAACCCTGCTTCTGATAAAAGTATTGTAAAACGTATAAAAAAAAATCTTTAATTAATTGTGTAACGATCTACAAACTCGGGGCACTCGGGACGTTCACCCCTGTTCTCCCATGCTGTCAGTCTCCAAAAAATAGACTCGTTCAGATTTAAATTTACGGACATGTCTTCAACCGAACATTACCCTGGCTACTTTGGTAAGCTTATACGACTTTGACTCGGATCTAAATATTTTTCACCAACCTTTTAGCTTTCTCTTAATCTATAGCTCTTCTCTCTTATCTTAATGAACGCGAGCACGTAGACTGGTCGTACTATGAGTTTTTGATACTTAACCGTGATGTCATTATATCTTCACCATTAAATATAGAAGATTGGAATGGCCTAGATGGTACATGGACTCGTAGATTTCTAAAAAACGCAGAAACGATGCTTGAATCAAAGGACTTTGAAACTTTAAAGGTCAAGGTATTAATTTTCTTTTATTTAACCAAGGGAACTCCTGTCAGCCAACGCCTGACTCAGGAGTATCAGTCAACGTCCTGGCCCAAGTGATGGTAGTGGCACCTCTGGTCAGCCAACGCCCTGATTCAAGAGTATCAGTCGACGTCCTGAGTCTTACCATTGCGAATCTGCATTTTTTTATTTGGAGTTTCTATTTACTAACAACCAGAATCAGTTGTTTTACGATTAACTTTTTATCATTGCCAAATTTAATATTGCATTATATAATAGGTAGATTCTGAACGTTCAAAACATGGAATCAAGACCTATTGGGAAAATGTTATCCATGAACAGAAAAAAGTACGTCAGGCCTTAAGTATAATTGTTTTTCCTTTATTAATCTTATTAAGATATTACAAACCTTGACCAATATGCAATTAGTTGAACGTGAAACGCACCCATATTCTTGGAAGTCTCGACCTCCTAGATAAAGCCGGGAAACATAATATTGAAAATTTATCCTCAGAAGGATTTTCAAATTCTTTTCCTGTTAATACGACACCTGTATCCAAACATGCACTTGATGGTTCTAACTCAACCTCTTCTCAGAGGAACAAGAAGGTTGGTATATATTGTACTTATACTATATATAATACAAACCATTATTTTAATTTTTTGCTTGAATATTTGTGTATACAGACCAAAGCTGGTGAAAACGAAGAAGAATCAGTTGAAGAAACTGTTATTCAAGAAGATATTTTGCATTCAATTGCCGAAACCACTAATACATTCGGAAATGTTGAATTCCCTGAATATTATAATAAGCTCAAGAAAATATGGAGAACCCGTGAAACAGGTTCAAATTACTATGTAATCGATATGAAAAATCGAGAAATATTAAATGAAGTACATAATCTTTTGGATGCGGAAGAATTGAAATTACTATATGATAGACTTTCTCCGCAAAGTGAGGACAAATATTTAAGTAAAAAGGCGCTTCAATATTTATCATTATTTGATCAGAATAGTGAAGGTTATTCAGATAATGAAGAGATCGAAGATGAAATTATTTTGGAGATGAAAAAAGAAGTCTGCAATTTGGACGGGCTAATAGCAAAATTTCAATATCTATCCCATGCTCTTCCTATCCCACTAAAACAATATAATGAATTATTATATCCAGAAATTCATATCATTAAAAGTATAGCAGGCCATCTAAGCGCAATTACGAAGATGGAAGGAATTACTGATAACACTACGGAAAGATCATGTACTGTCGTACATGTTTTTTATAGCTTTTAGTTATATTTCTTCCGTAAAATTTTTTTCATGCGAACGTACAATTTCCACAAAAAATGATTCACAAAATATCGACTATAAAGCCGATGGGGTTGCTGAACTGTTCAAAAGGCCTAAACAAATTCCCATGTTCATACTCGAAGTTTCAGGCGACCCAGGTAATCCAGACCCGGATAAATACAATGATGATCGGAAAAAATTGTTTAGAGAAGGAATTTTTGCACTCAATAAATTTATAACCCGGACAGATCTTCCGAATTGGGAGGTTTGTACCTCTTTGGGTGTTTTTTTGTCTCAAGGTTATGGTAAGTTATTTAAAATGTTTCAAAATATATTCTTTATTTTTTTAACTTTCCATTATTTATTTCAGAAGATAATCTTGAAATCGGACAGCTCATTTATATTGGTCCGGGACTCTATATATATTCGCCTTTTACGATCCCTAACCTTATCATTCCAACTACTCCCTTTAATTTGCAACATGCTCCAAGACTTATTCGTACTCTTCTATATTTACGGCATAAAATAATTAAAACAATTCGAAGTTTCCAAGAGTTTGAAGAAATAAGACAACGAAGTATTACAAACCCAACATATAGATACCCTACTGGTTTTACACCAGATCGATTCCGAACTGTGACATTTAAAGATTTTTTACCAGAAGAATCAAGAAAAGAGGCATCTAATAGGGTGGATGAACAAGAGAATGGGTCTAGAGGAAGGGGAAGAGGTCGTGGAAGAGGAAAGAGACGTGGATTTGATTCTCTATAGGCGTTAAATAAAATTTTTCTAAATTAGATATATTAATATACTTATAATATATATCACGTATTATTTTAACGCGAATATATGTATAAGCTTGATCTTTGAACGACCTATGAAAATGTTTTATATACTGTAAATACAGAAATTATCAGTTATGAATCCAATTTACAGTTCGCATATTTCATATAAAAAATTATATATGCAAGGTTATTTGTAATCACGAATTCTAAAATATATTAGCAGGTGCTAATTATGTTATACAAATGTTCTAAAGATGATGAATCGATTCTTTATTAGTTTTATTCCCATTACTTAAATAATAGTACGTAATATTCTGCGTCATCATCAGAAAACATTATGCTTATGCTTATATTATTTGTCTTAACAGAAAAATGATAGATTAGTACAGGATAAATTCATATATTAAATGTTTAGATATTAAGTATATTAGTTATATATTATAAATTATTTGATTATAGGTCAAAATTTTTAAACGCTTGAAACGAAATTCTTGATTTTTTGTATTCTTTTGGGGATAACTATTTCTGGCTTTTCATCGTACCACACTTCAAGAAAATTCTATTATCTTGGCATATGCATCTTTTTAACCGATCACGATTAACAATGTCTTCAAGTTTTTTGATGTCTTTATATCAGCCAGTGTTATGAAACCGGTGCTGACTTCCTTGACCTCTAATGCGATTTGATATTTTTGAAAGAAGGAATCAAATTCCAATCCATTCAAGAAAGAAGGGATACTCAATTATTGGTTCCTCATTAAGAAGTATTTGAGCTATTAAAATACATTTTTCCTGAAATTTACGATTTTTTTTTAGATTCCAATTCTTTTTTAAGTTTATCTATATCTTGTTTTAGCTTATTAATATCATTTATAAACCAGAGGTTAAGTTTCACAAGTCCATTATTAAATTCATCCAGTTTGATATTCTCAGCCTCAACTTCAACAAATTTCTTTCTAAGTTCTAGAATTTTAGCATTCTCTTTTCTGAGTTCAGTAATCTCGGATGTAAATCTAAAGTTTAATTCTCTCAAGGAATCGATTGTGAATTGATCATTCGACATTGTTTTTATACAGGATGTGGATATATTCAAAAGATTAATCACATGAAAAAAATATTGGTAAAAAATGCGTTAATACGCCTTTGCTTTATTTTTTGTAATTAAAATCAAATATATCTAATGTTTCTATACTATTGCCTGCACTATAAATTTTTTGTTTGTCTAAACTATCTATTATCATAGTTATTAGCAAATCGCCAGAAAAAATTTTTTGATTATATATTAAATTCACGAAATACTGCGATGTGTCATAAGTTAATTGACCTAATTTAGGATAATACAAGTACGAGATAACTACGGGATTTTTTTTATATTGATACATAATAACTACGGATAACCATGGGAAAACTGTGGGATTTTTTCATTAATGAGAAGGCTTTATGTACAAAATTTAAACTATCATTATCATTACATATTACCAAATCAGTATCTCTGATTTATTTTTATTATTCGAGGTTCTCTTAAAATTATCACATTCACATCGCTTATATATTCCATCTGCTACTTTTTTGCAATATAGGTGTGAATGGTGATTGCATTTGTCACAAACCTTACACCCGTGATTCCACCCTCTAAAGATGTGCCACTTTTCGAAATAATTCTGACTTTTTTTATTCGTAAGTATATTATATTTCATTGTTATATATTAACGGAAAAAATACGTATACGTATACGTATATGTGGCTAAAATTTTTTATTATACAAACCTATAATATGTGGCACTAATCTGTCTCACATGCATAAACCTTAGGTCAATATCCGTATATGTTGAATGCCTGTATTTAACAAGCATATTGGTACGTATGAAACTTTATTACGTATAAATTTAATAATTATTTATATATGATTTACTAAAAATATTTATATCACGTTGGCGTCAACTTGGGGGACGCGATCTGCACTAATTAAAATGCTTTATAATATTATAAATTTGTGAATAATTGAGCTTTGAAATATAATCAGCACTGTATGTTTGAATTCGCTCGATTTTTTCAATCCCAATCCCCTTAACTATTGTTTTGGTATCTGGGTCATAACTTTCTCTGAACAACTTATAGATATTTCTGGTTTTTGCTGTTTTTTTACGCAAACTATCTCTCGTGAACCCTGGAAGATTGGTTGCGACTTCGCCATATACTAACCCTCTGGCTTGTTGATCATTGAACCTGCTGTTATCATTTTTAATTTCTTTAACTCTTTCTTCGAATTTTTCAGCAAAGAGATACTAGCACCTTATTTCTTCTTGATAGGCTCGGGTTATATGTTTTTCTGCTCGGCTTGCATTATAGTATAGTTGGAGTAAGGTTTTTGGTTTCGATTCTTTGTTCTTATTTTCTCTATCATTATCATCAATTGGCTCACTTGGCATAGATAGTTCCTTTATTAAACTTTGTACTTTATCAGATTCTATAGATTTTGTTTTACTTCATGGAATAGCTCTACCACTGTCTACAGATAACTTACTTACCGCTCCTGTTAGATTAGAGGTTTTTTCACTTTCATCTTTCACTGCCTCTGACATATTTACATCCTGAACTTCAGCTGATACTGTTCCTTCATTATCTACGAAACAAATGGGGCAAGTTTTTTGCTTATCTCTATTACTTTTTTCAAGACAGTCATGATGGAGTATATGACCACACACTAGCGTAGTAAATGCTTTGGGTGGATTTAACAAAATTTCTTCATTACATTCGTAGCAATTTTCTAGCTCCGGTATTGTGATATCACTTACGAGAGAGTTTGGATGTCCTTTTAAGATATTTATTCCTAAAGCTTTTATAACTCCACTCGTTTTGGATATTTTTTAGTAAGTTCTCCTTCACTAAGTGGTTCGTTACTCATATTACAGGTTATGATGAGTTGGTTAATGATGAAAATTTTTCTTATTGTTTCATACTTACCTGATTATATATTATTTTTTCACTGCTTAGGAATATTCGAAAGCTAAAAAAATAAACGCATATAATATCTAAATTAATACAGTTACCTGAATTTTAACTAGATAAGTCTTTGCAATTTATTATTCACTTATTCTGCTATATAATATATTTCCGTATTAACAAACCAATTTGCAAATTTTTTGAAATCTAATTTCGGATTTGGCGATCTGTTCATTCATGAATTATTTAGTATGAGAGGATCGCTCGATCTACTGGCAATCATGAAGAAAAGGAAATATACACTTCATAGATTTTTATTTCACATTGACACTTTTCTACCTGTGTTAAAAAATAAATCACTCAATTGTGATCTCAAGAATAGCATTAGGAAAATAGTGGATAATTTGAGTCTCATGTATATGAGGGCCCAGCGAAAATCTTCTGAACTTATGCCACAGACGACTAGATTGCCATTGCTTTGAGTATCTGTTCTATTTCATCATCTGACCTTTCACAATTTTCCTCCTTAGCTATATGATAATAAAGCTCATATAATTCCTCTAAACTACTATAGAGATCATTATCTTTATATCTTTTGCGATAATTTTCTAGCCTTTTAGTATATGCTTCTTCCTTAGAGAACATCTTTACTGTGAGTGTCTTAATATAGTTATTCGGATCCTTTTCAGCTCGTAGTTTCTTTAGATAGTCCCCATAATTTTTCGCAAGATTATCATATTTTCTACCCTTTCGCAATGCTGTTTTTATGACTTTAACTTGCGCAAGTTCTATATCCTTATAATCAACCATTTTTGTATGTTTCTACTATAGCAATAAAAAAACTTTAATTAATGAAAATATATTCTTTAGATTTTTTATCTAAAAAAATATTTGTTATAAATCATCTATGTCTTGACACGGAGTCTAGCTTTTATTGCCCTTTCTTCTGCCTCCTCAGGAGATATTTCAGATGCTATTAGGTGCTTATATAGTCCAATCTGCCAATGACCATATGGGAGGGTTTGAATTCCATTAAGTAAGATCTAGCGCTTGTTATCATATGGATTTAGCCCTATCTTACCAGATATATTTGATGATCATAACTACGAAGACCATACATATCATGCTGAGTTAGTTTCTTATTCCTAAGACATTCTAGAAATCTATCATGCCGAAGCTCTCTTTTGACCACACATTTCTTAACACCCTTTGCCTTTTGAATACCATGCTTCTTTTTAGGGTCTTCAGAATCTGGGTCATCGGGAGTTTTAGGATCATGGCCTGTTGGAAGGACTGAATACATCTTTGGCTTTAAACATACTGATTCGCCTATTGTGCCTCTCTTTGTCTCATCCTTCATTAGAAATAAGTCTCCTGAATAGTTAAGATCGAAAATATCTAGTCTTTCTGCTCAATCTCTATATATGTCTTCAGTTTCTATCCACATGATGAGCGAGTCTGTGTCAATATAAAGTAGATAGGCCTTATCTCCATAGCGAGGCTGTATATAACCGTACCAAAAGTTGAACATCATAGCCTTGCTAATGTCGAGAATTGCTTGCCCTACATAGATTGGTTTGTTTAGAGTTACTGTACTTTTTAACATATGGACTGCTGTAATTCCCCCTTCGAATGCTTTAAAGCCTACATACAATGGTAAACTTGCTAAGCGCCTGATTTTTTTATCCTCTTCTGTTCGGAGTAATTCTACTCTCATATATTTACGAACATTTTCCATTTGTTTGCCAAATACTGTATTATTCTTTAGCTTATAATACATGACCCCAAACTCGTCTCCATTAGCTTTAGCAATTTTACGCTTGCGAATATTTTCCTCAATATAGTCTTTTATCCATGGAGACTGCCTAAACTTGAGAGCACTATGAATCTTTGTAACCTTCATTCCAAACTTCATATATGTCTGGAGAGCTCGATAATGGACCACGTAGTTCTTTTTAGGATAAAGAGTCTGAACCAACTTCTTTCCTAATGCATATTTTCCATTTTCAACTTCTTTATCATTCACTAATCTTTCGTTATATAGGCTAAGCCAGTTTTCTGATATTATTTGCTTTTCTGGCACTAAAGAATAATCTGCAAAGTAATCGTGCAAGTGCACTGGAGCTTCTAGATCAAGTTCAAGCATATAGCCTATTTCTGCATCAGGCGCGATACTTTGGATATCTGGTACTTCCTCTGGACTCACTTTACCCAAAATTTCTGTAGGCATGTATTGGGTCATTGCTCCTGAATATAAGGCATTCATATCCTCATATAAGGTCCAAGACTTCGGTTTACTAGGATCATAGTCTGGACATTGCAGATTATTTGATTTGGCATATCGATGACTTGCCATTGTCATTCCTCCACGAATTCCATTTTCAACCATCAGATACTCATCCTTATCTGTCATAAGCCTAAGTTCTGCTCCGCTACTTTTGTACAAATAATCATTAAACATTCCAGGTGCAGAGACGTAATGAGATGGATCTAGGCAACAGCACCAGGATGTAGGTGAGATTTTCCAGGTCACGTGACATTCCGATCTTCGACGGTCATGCATTACATAATTGATCAATTAAAATCAATCATACAAAATAATTACAAATTTTAAAAAAATTTGTGTTTATATAGTTAAATATATTATTTATTTTTTTATATAGCAATCAATACACACTAATTCAATATTTATATTCTAAACAAACCACCAATTCGAAACCCAATCTCTAACTCTAACTCTATATCTATTTTTAACCCAGTTTTAACCAAACTACCAACTAATCTTAACCAAATCCCAAGATTCATCAAAAAGCCCTTCTTTATTAATCATTTATTCAGATCCAGATACTATCTAATTTTTTTTTAAAAAAAATCAATCCAGATGGAATCCACATCTGATTATATATAAAGCTAGATTTTGGTATATATTTTTTTATTCGACGCTCTTTTACTGCTTTGATTACTTAATAATCATTTCTTTCAAATTAATCATTTCATCTAGTTCATAAGTATAAAGAACATTTTCTTAAACAAGTTCACAAATCATTACCTACCACTATTCAAATTATTTCCTTCGCATTTATCATTCATCAGCTCATAAGAACATCCATTAATCAATGTAATTAAAACAGCGAAACAAGCTTACAAACTATCAGCATAAATACACATTTTTTCTTATTTAACACTCTTCGGATTGTTTTATTCACTTGTATTAAAGAATATATAAAATTAATAGAATTAAAGCAACAAAACAAGTTCACAGATTATAAGCAAATGTTTATTTCCTATTACCTAATAATACCCTTAAAATCATTTCTTTGCATTAATCATTTCATCCAGCTTATAAACAAATTAGAGATGCAGTAGAATCGTCCCAATGATAGTCATCATACTGCCGTAACTCTAGCAAGTAATGGCAGTGTGATGACTATCATTGGGACGATTTTACTGCATCTCTAGAACAAACCAATTTATTAAAGCACTAGCATAAATACTTATTTCCTATAAACAAATTGTTTTATCCGTATTAATCGTTTCATAATCTTAATCCAATTCATTTTACCTATTCCTAGCCTTAGTCCAAGCTAACATGCTATTCTTGCAAAGTGTAAGCTAATGCTTTTCCTTATTCTGATCATAGATCGTCGTTAAAGAGCCAAAAAGTTAGTGTAAAAATTCTTGCATAGTTTATCATTAAGAATGACAAACCATGTCAACAACACAAACAAAAAAAATCTGACCTTCAAGTGATTAACTTTATATCCAGGACAACGCAAAATCAACATTTGATGATAACTCAAGACAGGAAGCAAAACCTGTCTATAAAACCACGTAAATGACGAAACCTAGAACAACAAAATTAACTTCAGTAAAGCTATGATCTCAAGTGACGAAGTCCACAACCACAGTAACACCGGTAATTACAATACCTAGACTCCAGTAATGCAACAACATGGAGTTACACAAACT